CAGGAAGCACAGAGGGCACCAACAGAGACCCACGAAGTCTATTTGGAAGATGAGCAGATGGAGCAGAGACACCAAGCAGATCTGAATGCCCAGAAATTGTGAATGGGCCAGTGTGACCTAAGAACTGCCTACTTGCCTGGGTCCCATCCATAGTCTGCTCAGCCCAATGTTCTGCAGTTTGAAAAAGAGTGTTTTATGCAATGACTTTTGAATCCAAATATTTGCTCAATGCCAATGTACGTCAGGGGGTTCCCTGGGGCTCCCCCCACCTCTAGCCATATGCTCTGTGGGTCCCTCATGGGATGCCTGCAGCTCACGGCCAACTTCAGAGCTAACTCAGCTTCCCAAGCAGGGCCCTTCTCCACCAGGCTGTCCAGGGGCGTGTAGCACTCAGAACTTAGGCCTGGATTTGTGAGCAGAGATGGGATCTCACTGTTGGAAGATGAAACCATGCGTTATTTAAGTTCCTTTTCACTTAATTTATCAAACTAATATGCCGAGGTATTTTCTGTCTCACAGGGGACCGTTTGGTGGAAGCTTGCATGGAGTAAGCGTTTAATGTTTACTGAGTGAATGTATAATAAAGCTGAATCGCTGAACGCTTAAGTAAACATGGCCTATTAGGGAGAAGGCAGCGTGATGTCAAGAAGGAGAAATCACGTCTCACTAATCTCCTTGAGTTCTTTGAGCAGATAAATAAGCATATGGATAAGAGGGGACCACGGAACCCAATTTAATTTGACTTTCAAAAACCGGTGAGAAAATCCCACTTTAACGACTGTTTTAAAAAAATTGAGTCACTAAGGGTTGTTTTACCATGAATATGGAATTGGTTTAAAGACCATCAACAGAGCTAAAGATAAGTGGATACAGTCCCAGATGGAAAACTATAAACACTGAGGTTTCCTAGAGAGCTCATCTACGATGGGTCTTTTGACATGTTTGTGGATGGCCTAGTTTATGTCAAATCTTATGTCAAATCTCCAGGTATGGGCAATACCTCATTCTTAGCCGGGCTCAGCCTGTAATCCCGCGCCTTTGGAAGGCTGAGGTGAGTGGATTGCCTGAGCCCGCGGGTTCGAGACCCGCCTGGGCAGCAAGACCTCATCTCTACAATACTTTTAAAAAATCAGCTGGGACCACATGCAGAAGATTGAAACAGGACCCCTATCTATCCCCATGCACAAAGGTTAACTCCAAATGGA